TGCTTGAAACCTCAAATTCAGTTATATGATAGTTTGGAAGCTCAATTGAGAGCATTAGACTCCTTGGGTATGATGATGAAAATGGCTGCTGCCTTAGTTTCAATAAAGAAGTCTTGAAATAAAGACGAGTTTGCATTTTTTGTGACAGAAAAACTCATAATACACTACACTGTGCTGCAGTTGCTGATTCCTCAATTGATGAGTGCAATAATATACCAAAGAAGAAAGGCCCTGTTTCAGACGTTACCTTAAACATCTAAAACAGGCACCTTTCTTCTTAGGTTGGAAACCAGGAACCTAGAGAAGATCTACCACCAGAGGTTGGAAAAGTACACTGCTCGGCATTACAATTACAACACCATGAAGGAGAGCAAATTCAAAAAAGATATTCATTGTACATAAACAGTATGGCATGAAGACAAAATGATTAAATTTGTAAGTAGCTTGGGGATTTACATGTGGACGAAATTAGTAGAAACAGCTGCTCCCCTGGCAGCTAAAACGGCCCTTACCCATTTAGGCATGGAGTCGAACTGGGCTTGGATGACAAAAATGTACAACTCATTCCATGCCGTTTCAAGTCTATGCTACACATCATCAATGGTATTAGCCGCAGAGGGGTGGTGGGCCATTCTCTCAGCAATTCACGACCAGATGTTTTCAATGGGTGACAGATCTGGAGACCATGCAGGCTAAGGCAGCAATTGAATACCCTGTGTATTGAGGAAGGTCAGAACATGACGTGCAACATGTGGTCTTGCATTATCTTGTTAGAAGATGGCATTTGGCAGGTCTCAAAGATAGGGCCCAACCACTGGACGTGAGACGTCAGAAATGTACCAATCTATGTTCAAATTACCATCGATACAAACTAGAGATGTGTGTGTGGTCTATCCAATCACTGCCCAAACCATTGCACCAGGTGCAGAGTCCCTATGCCAATATCGAATGCAAGCAGGTGACATGCGGTCTCCTCGGAGCCTCCAGATATCTATACGGACATCAGAATATTAAATGAAGAACCAGGACTTTTCTGAAAAGATAACAATGCGCCACGCCTGTATCCAGCTTTATCTTTTGGTGCACCAGAGTCACTGTCCCTTTGTATATTGCACTGTCAAGGGTAGACGAAGTAAAGGTCGCCATGCTGATAGTGAATGCTGCTGTAAATGCCGATGCACCATACAAGCGATACTGGAATGCTGCAAACATGCGCATTTCCTGACTAATGGTCTGTGATGTGGTTATAGGGTTTTGCAGGGATGACCTCACAGTATGCCTGTCTTCTCGGGCGTTAATCATGGAAGGGCATTGAGATTCTGCATGCCATTCAATATAACCCTCAACAACTCATTGATTCCATATTTCCATGACAGTGGCTGGATGTCAACCAGTGTGACCGCCGATATCATGGAAATATAATCTACACTCTTGATAGGCAATGATCCTGCCTCTATCAAATTCTAACACTTGCTGGCAAGCATTTCTTCTCCTTATTCGAGGCATAACATGACATTTTGGGCAAACTCCGACCTTATAAAGTGCTTTCAGAATGAGAAATCCACTACAGAACTTTTCTTTTATGCAGTTCTTGAAATGTCATTTCTCCCTCCTGCATCAGCTAAATGTGATGAAATACTAATCATTTGCATATCCCAACATCTTCTTCCTTTCATATGATTTTGACATTTGTCAGATTATTCCTTGCTGGTGTTACAATTTTAACATCCAGCAGTGTAGTTTAGATTTAGATGAAGGACCAGAAAATGTGTTAGGTCTTTAGTGGTTCTGCCAATCAGGATGAAATAGGATGCCGAGCAGCATCTTACACTGAAGCTACTACAAGACGAATTTTACTTTCATGCATTCAGAAAATTTTTGATCCTATAGGAGTTTCCCCACTAGTCCTTCTTATTCCAAAGATTATTTTGCAGAAGACTTGCAAATTAAAGTCTGACTGGAATGAAGAAGTGCCCATAGACATTCAGAAAGAATTCAGTAAATGGGCTATAAAAGTACATTTTTTGAATGACTGCTGAATCTCAAGAATCTTAATTAATTCTAGAAGCTCCATACGTGTCGTCTGTGATGCAAGCAAAGTGGCATATGGTGACTGTATATTTTTAGAAACAGAAGAAAGTGAAGAAGTTTTCTTGATCTTGTCCTAGCAAAATCCAGACTTTCACCATTGAAAGGAGATTACTTTACCGCAGTTGGAACTGATGGCTGGTCTTCTGGGTGTAAGGTTATGTGAGTTCGACTGCTAAAAGTTTGAACAATACAAATATGAAAGCTTACTTCTGGTCAGATTCATCAGTGGTTTTGGCATAGCTAAAGAAATTAAATACCTGGTCTGTTTTTGTAGAAAACAAAGTTAAAGAGATTCAAGATTACAGCAAAACAGGATGTTGGAAACCTATACCAAACATCTTAATCCTTGCTGATTTATTGTCAAGAGGATGCTATCCATTGTATCTCCTCAAATCTCAGTGGTGGACAGGACCTGAATTTCTGAAGGAACCTCCATAAACTTGGCCTTCAAATGATTGTGATTCTGATGTGGAAGAAATCATAAGAGAAATTTTCTCTCAAACTATGATTTTGGAGAAGAATTCAATGGTTGACAGCATTCTAGCTAAACTTGCAAAAAGATTCTCGAAATATTACATTTCTGATTGTATGAACTACTGCTTGGATGCTGAATGCAGCCCACTTACTTGAAAATTAGAGATTGCCCATACAATATATCTGCTGAAGAATTCGAGAAAGCAAAAAAAACTATTTTCCCTTATACAGAAAAATGCTTTTGATGAAGAATGACAGAAAACTGATCTGAAAAATCTTCAGGTTTTCGTGGATGAAAAGAGAATTTTGAGAACAAAATCTCATATTTTGGATTCTCCAGATCTGCAGGAATACACATCCAATACACAACCTTTGAAAAATATAATTATGGAAAGAATGATTGAGCAATTACACTTAGAGCATAAACATGCTGGAATACAAACATTTCTGATGATTCTAAGAGAAAGGGTTTGGATTATCAAAGGTAGGAAAACTGTACAATCTGTAGTAAAAGGATGTGTCGCATGCCAAAGACATGCAGTTAAGGCCTTAGATGTATCTCTTTCTCCTTCACCTGAAGACATAACATTCCAAGTGACAGGAGTCAATCTTGCCAACCCAGTTTTCTTGAAAAAGAATTTAAAGGCTTGGATAATAATTTTTACACAAGCAGTTTCTAGGGCTTTCTAGGGCACTTTGAATTAATCACTTCCTTGAACACCAACACCTTCATAGATGCATTTATAAGTTTCCTTTCATAAAGGCGTCGAGTTGAAGTCACATACTCGGAAGATGGTTCAAATTTCATAGGTTTAAATAGAGCTATGAATCAGCTGGATTGGACTGCTATCAAACAGAAATGTACTTTAATGAAAATAAAATGGAAGTTCCGCCCTCTCACCACATCATGGCGGGAAGGATTTTGGGAGAGGTTAATAAAAATTTTATAGGACCTTCTCTGAAAAAATTTGAGACACGCTTGTTTAGGATATGAAGATTTCCTAACCCTTCTGTGCGACTCATCCTCTAGAGTTGTACTCAGGCCAGTTCAGCACCTCTTTCCTCTTAGACACTAACTTGGAGAAACTTACTTTCGCAATGAGTAATGTAGAAAACACCCAGAAAACAATCAAAAAGCTCAATCTACACCCTTTAAAGAACAAGTATTAAAGACCTTTAGAAAAAATTCATCTTGGTAGAAAAGTGCATCCTCCACAAAAACTAAATTTCTGAACTTTATTGATAATCTAGAACTCTGTGAACTTTATTGATAACCTAGAACTTTATGAACTTTATAGGCAATTTAAAAACCTTCATGAACTTTTAGTTTAGAACTTTAAGTTGTATTTAATTTTGCAAGGTGGGAAGGATGTTGAAAATGAAATCCCGTAATTTTTTTTTTGGGTAGAATGGCAACAAAATGTTTGTTTACCTTTTAGAATTCTTCTCGGCAGTTGAATAAATATGTGAGTATGTTATAGTTCCAACTTTATTGTTAATTTATACTAACACTGCAGTAAGTAGAACAAGTGAAGGACATTTACACTATTTTTAGAGTCACTTCGGTACATATATTTTGATGGCACCTTCTAGCACTGTGATTTCTGACCCTGAAGGAAAAGGAAGAAATTTCAGCACTGTAAAGTCTCCCCCCCCCAAAAAAAAACTGATCTTTCCGTAGAAATGTACGTAAAAAAGCTGGCAGTACAAAAACAAGAAATATACAGCTAATAACCATTTCCATGCCGCTTTTCTAATAATATTTCTTATGAACACTTGAATTTAAACTTGAATGTGGATAGCACTTAAAACACAGTTCAAAGATTATTAATACACTGGTTGAATTCTACGAAAATTCTTTATAAAAAATTTTTTTAAGTGGAATATTTTGAAAACTACGGGTTTTAGGAAACTAAAATTTTGTAGATGACATGGGAAAATAAGTTAAATTGAATTTATTACAACAGGATATTTTCAAATTCAGTTTTGATGGTAATTTGTTATGTTGCCTAGATATGATTTTCTCACTTATTTTTTCAGAGTATTAGGGCTCTGCAGTTCCCTGTATCTGAATGGAGTTTAGAAGTATTGGCAGGTTTACGGTTAAGTACACAGCAAGTGAACATTTCTCTTTAATCAAATAATTGTTTTTCACTAAAATTAATATACCATATACAATCCCTACTTAATTACATATACACCTGAAAATCATCTTTAATTAATCATCAATAATGACAAATTACATTACATATCAACAAACAGAAATGGAAGTTAAGTATTTTGTACAATGCCATCATAGTGATAGCATTTTATTTTAAGCATCAAAGACTTAAACAGATTATTGCTGTAGGAAATAAACTCTCATTTATAACGTGATAAACGGAATATAAATCACCTTTATCATAAATTTAAGTTAAGATCTAATATATAGCTACCTGGTTGCAAACTTGTAGCTCCAACTGAGTGAGCAGTAAGTAACGTAAATCTCATATTATAATCCTCAAAATATGCCATAGTTGTAACAGGATACACATTAGCTTGTATGGGTAATTTGTCAAAATAATGCCTGCGCATCATCTGAAATTATTAAGAAAGAGCAGATAACATCAAAAAGTAAACTCAAATAAAATAAAGAGAACTTCACAATCTATAATTTTAACTTTATTTCAGGTAAAGTTCAGTTTTTTTTTTCCACCTACCAAAATTGTAAAAAAATAATGGCTATACAGAAGCTGTTCACAGATTCTTTTTAGATGATTTTCATTGTAATTACAGAAATATTTCACCTAAAATTTTTATGTTTTAAAAGTTCCATTTGATAACTTTTATTCTTCACTGCCTTTATATAATGTAATTTCTAAGACAATAAACACTTTTTTAGTGTTGGAAGATATATTTTATCCCATTGCTCTTGAACAGTTTTCCAAAATCTAGGGAGGTTGTAGCTCAACATTTGGCCAACCCACTTTTTAAAATTCACAAACGGCAAAAATAAATTGGTGATATAACAGGAGATTTAGTAGGGATATAAGTGAAGAGTATGGTCTTGATACAAATTCCTTGTTCCATTTTTTACAGAAAATTAACAGATTTTGAAGTGTCGCTGCTTGTTTTGTCTTGATGCAGTTCCACTTGATCACACTATTTGTAAATTGAAGATATTTCATATTTGAAAATTGGATATAAAATATGTTTCTGATAATATGTGGAGATGATTTTAACATTTTCTCCCCTCTCTTTGTTTTTAATTTGCTGTTACATGGGGGGGGGAATCATAAATCCCTTAGAAAAACTTTATTTAGATTCCTTGAAACCATGATTTGAAGATTTTTTTCTCCTCTTTCTTGATAATAATTGGATCTCTTTTTATTGCAATCATTTAAGTACACCCAAGATTCGTCTATTGTGACAACATTTTTTCATTTCTGTCTGGATAAATGTTTCTCATAAAGAATTCTGCCGCATGTTTTGCATTCAGTGATATGTCGTGACGAAAGACAATGCACATTACTTTTTTTTTGGCTTTAAATTATCAATAATGACATTGTTTAGGTTGACACTGAGCATTTTAATGATTTTGCAACTGTCCTTTGAGTGGCGGACTTTCCTTTAACATTAAGGATCTTACCTCTGCGACATTGAAAGCATTCTGTTTTTTCCCTGGATACATATTTGGAAGAATTTTTCTACTGGAAGCTAAATTTCGATGTTTTTTCCTTTGTTGTTGACATTACCTGTCATAGCTTTAGATATTGAAAACCATGGCTTTCATAATGTTTTTCAATAAATAGATACAAATACTTTGCTTTGGAAAAAAACTTAAATATAGCATTCCATTATTGCTTCCATAAAAGCAACAGTTTGCATGAAAATAAAACTGTCAGATATCAGAAGATAATTTATACTTTTAAAATATAGTTGCAGTTAAAAAAATTCCAAGCAGAAGATTTTTTAATCATCTAAAAAATGTGCAAACAGCCTCTGTATTATGCTTTAAAAAAGTTATTGCTGTTTATATTGGTTATCCAGTACCCCATAAAAGCAGGCACCAATTTATTTCACATATATCAGGGTTCGTACACATTTCTGCACACGGAAATTAAGTACTTTTAAGGACCATTAATAAAAAAAATTTAGGACCTATGAGCAAATGGGAACTGAAATTCAATCAAAAATATTATTCTATGCCTGAATTTCACTTTTGTAATACCATCCTAATCCCTAAGTAGTATGCATTATTACTAAACATGAATTAATTAACATATTTATTAATAAGTGTGAGAATAAAATAAACTTCATGCAGTTTATCAAGTAGCATTAAATATTTTACACTTATAATAGGTTGTACATATTTGAAAAAAGATAAGTGACATTTATGTTTTACTAAACGTTAGCTTTATGTTGATTTTTTTGTCTCATTTTGTCACATACTTGATCAGTCTAGAGCAGAGGTTCTTAACCGGTGGTACGCAAGAAAAAAATAGGTGGTACTCAAAGAAGCAAATTATTTTTATTTATTTATTTCAAAAATTAAAGCCCCAAAATCTTGATTGAGTTTTTCCTCCAACACTCATAAATTTATGCGATCTGAGCTTTGTTCAAGAGTGGTGGTGGTAGTAGTACTTTGTAGTGGTGGTACTAAAGGTTTTTAATTTTTTCTTAGATGGTACACATTAATCTAAAGGTTGAGAACCGCTGATCTAGAGGTTTAGTAAATAGCAGGTAGATTTGATATCAAACGGTGTAGGTTAAAATGAAAAGTAAGATCATAACCAGCATGATTCATAACAAAAGACTGAATGTTATCACTGATGCTGCTTGTCTAGAGAGAGACCTGCTGATTAGAACAAACCTGAAAGGCCTGATGTAGGTACGGTTGGCAAGTGTTGAAAGTTAGTCAGGCTCTGTTTGATGTAGTTAGTGTCATAGGCTTGTGTAGAGTTCCAGGAGTTGTAACCCAGTTAAAATACTTTCAGGTTCCAATAAGCTATTAAAGCAACAGAGGTGATAAGTTGTTTTGTATTATTTTAAGTCTCACTAGATGCAAAGAATAGGTTTTACTTGAATTTCTACATTTTTGTGTTTTATCTTGCGACCACAGTGAGTATTGATGAAAGGCAATAACTCGCTTTAATATTTAGAGAGAATTTTTAAGGGTAAGCAATTAGTTATAAATAATTAAATTAGGTAAATAAGTAACCTTAGTCATTATAGATTTACATGGCCACTATCAAATTTTATTTTTTAACAATAGTTGTTAAAAAAGCACTATTAAAATCAAAATCTAATAAAATTTCACAGTTTAAATTACATGTAATTTATGACTGCTGGTTAAATGATATTAGAATAATTACACCTTAAAACCTATTATTTTGTAACAACACTCAACAAAATATTGTAGTTGCTACAGTTGTAACATTTATGTTTTGTAACAACACTCAACAAATATTTATCCGTCATTTTAATTTAAAGCCTTCGCAAACATTTTGGCTAGTTTATATTGATTTCCTTTCCTTTAAGCATCTTTTCTAACAATAATTAGAGATTTCTCTCAATATGCAAACCAACGCTCTCGCTAGTTTCTACGTGCTTTATCTCCTAACTTGTCAACCTCTCCACAATGTACCTATGAAGGTTTACTTCTAGTAAAAGTTAAATAGTCTAAAACCCCCAACAGATGTGAAGCAAATTATCACTATGTCTGAAAGTAACTACAATATCAGACAAAGGTTTAAATAACCCGCTTATTTAAAAAGAACTTAGAACAAACATAAAGGCATGTTCTGATGCTAACAAAATCAATTACAACTCACGGTTACATAATTAAACAACAGCAGTCAAATTCAAACTCAAAATGTGGACTAGTGGTCACAGATTATACAATTTTAATTTAATCTGGCTAAGTAACTCTATCATTTGAGGAAATAGAAATGGAAAATTATAGTAAAGGCTGAAATCATAAACAATTGGGTAATTTACATAATAATAACAGCACATATCTTTGAAGAATAATTTTCTGTATGTATTCAGTTTTTTTTCATACAACCTTTTACCTATTCATTTTAGAATTTTGGGATTTAAATAAGGATTTCTGTTATTCTAAAAAACACTAAATGCATTTAGAATATATAGAAAAAGTGGCTAATTTTATTTCTTTAGTAATATGAATATTCAGAAGAAATGTGAAATATATATGGTAAAGGCCAAGTACAGAGCTGGTGTGGCAGAAATTTTAGAATTTAGTGACACATGGAATAACAAAATCTAGAAGTGGCAAAACTTTTAGAATTTAGAGCTGACATTGGAAGCAGAATTTAAAAAGGCACTATGTAGTCGAGTTTAGGATCCACAGAGATTGCATCAGATGGGAAAATGCTTAAGGCCAGGTTTGTGTAGGATGCATTAAGACATATTATATGGATCTCTTAAATTTAAGTTTTTAATTTCTTTAATAATAAAAAAATCCCTTTCTTTCTATAATGCCTGCCCAAGTGATAAGATAAGAAGCATTTTTGATATTTTACATGTTTGTGTCTAGTGAAAAGTAGAGAAAATAAAGGGAAGATAAACATGTTACAAAAAAGATTCTAGTATATCAGGAGTAAAACATTCAAATATGTCTTTATTGTTTTTCCAGACGTTCTCCAAAAAGTAAGAAATTCATCGCAAACTTTCTGTAAAATGCATCCCTTCTGCGCTGATACCATGGAGATATTTTTCATTTTGTTACATATTTCTCGAATCTTCTAGAATTGTGAGTCTATAAATCTTGCCTTCAAAAACTTCTAAATTTTCCAAGCTGCAATGTCAAAAATTCTAAAGAAAAATTATCCCAACCAATTCTGTAACAGCAAAAAGACAGAAACATTTTGGGGAAAAAAAAAGGGAGGGAAAAAGTGTAAAATTAATTTTATAGAGAAAACTGATGCACATTCTGAGAATTTTGAATATTCTGAGACAATTACATGGGGAAAATGCTTACTATGAAAAAATTAAAAAGAAGACATTTTTAATTAATTACATAGTTAATTTTGCTTTAGCTAAGAGCTATTTGATAAAGTATGCTTTATAGCATTATACCTTGTTTATTTTTCAGATTCAAAATATTGTATAATAAGTTGCCAAAATGAAACGCTATAATATGACAGCAAAAAATAAAAATGTTTTATTTCAATATTATTTTTTAATATAATTCCAATATAATTACCATTATTTTAATTAAATGTATCAAATTCTCATTTTAAAAAAAATCTTGGAAAAATTCTCAGATTTCAGAATTAAAAATTTTCTATAGAAACTGATCTTAAAAATTGCCAAAATGTTGACAAGTCGCCAAATTTAGAACCACTTAATAAACGAATTCACATTTCCAAAAGCGAAAATTGCTTAAGAGCTCTTTATTACAAAAAATGAATTTCGAAATGCTTATGTTTCACTTCTTGCTTAGAAACTCGAGTATCCCATCATTTATATTAAAAAATCAAAACAAATTATAACCCATGAACCCATTCAAAAGATAACCATATACGTCAGTGAATCACCAAAAATATTCCTCCAAAATGCTAATTCACACTCAAAATGGCAGTCGTAAAAACAGACAGAAATTTCAGATGATTAGAATTAAAGGACCTTCTACTGATTTTGGAAAAATTAAGGACTTTTAAGGACCAAAAATCGATTCCAAAAAATTTAAGGACTTTTAAGGACCGTACGAACCCTGATATATGCCCAGTATTGAGCAAAACTGAGCATTTGATTCGGCTTCTAAATCATAGCTCCGAGTGCAGGAAAATGAGTGACTTGTCTCAGCTACAAACAGCTCAGATTGTTGAAACTTACTGGTGACATTGAAAGGTAATGTGGCTAAATTAATCACAGCATACAGACCACTACCTACAACAAAACTTGCCAGTAGTCAAAGCATAAACGACATTTTTACAAATTTGAATATGTGCAAATAAGGCATATTTTTTAAACTGTTAAATAAAATTAATTGCATTCAACTCAAAATCCACAAATACATAAAAAATGAACAATTAAAAATAGTTCTAGTAAATTATATGCATATTGTAATAGAAATTTTTATTTTTTTTATTCGAGCAGAAGTGTCACTAAACATACTAATGAAGCAAATAGTTTAAATTACAAATAGTCATTGAGAAAATTAGAATCCATAAAGTATATATATATATATTTAGGTTTATGTATTCTGATATCTATAGGGGAGAAATTGTACACAGAGATGGGAAATATTGAAATAATTGTCAACAAAAATACTCATACATCTATGCAGAACAAGTTTAGAACAAATTCAGGGTCATTTACTTAATGCTTAAAATGTAAACAGTATTTTTTTAAATGGGTGATCTGACAGCTTCCCCCCCCTCCGGATTATAAATGTGTATTGTGATTTCCATGATAGAAAGGCATTTTGTAAAATTTCCAGGTTTACTGATATCCATTCCTCCTCCACTACTTTCCAGAGTCCATCAAACATGGTGGTCTTGCACTTAGAAAAAGCTCTTTTGATGAGACTAAAGGTAAAATAGTCCATAGGTCCATTATGAGATTTTGCAAGAATACGTTGAAAAGGTATATATGCAATACCAGTATCAGTCTTCAGTTTTTTTCAAGGAATGTGGTGGAAAAACAAAAATAACTGTTCAGTTATTTTTGCCGATAGATGGTGTTACCTCCTCATGTTTGGTACTACCAAAGGGTATAAAAATCCGTTCAGTGGTTACTTTCCATTATTTGAAGTTCAGATTTTGAGCGTGAAGGTGCATTTGCCCCTCGCTCCCTATTTTAACTTCGCTAATTTTTCTTGTCCTTTATGCTTGATCAGATAACCTGGCTCAGTAAAATTAGGCGGCCAGTACAACTCTGATTAAAAATCCAGTTATAAAACCACGTGCAGTGCTGATAAGGACCACGTGTTTCTGAGACTCCTTCTCCTTTATTTTCTTCTTTATAGGTATTTCTTTCTCCTGATGAGGAGGGACCTTTAGCTGCCCTCGAAATCGATTGAGTGTTTCATTATACTTACACTAAATACAAGGTTGTTTTTACGATTTTGATTGTCACATTAGCATGTTTCTCTTCTAGTCTAATAAACGCAACATTTTACAACAACATGACTTTAAAAACTATTTTTACAATACAGGATTATACATTGGGAGAACGAAATGTTTCTAAATTTCTTAGCACTTTTGCTGCTGGTTATGTGAGATTGTGTTGACAGTTATTGCTCTGACAAAGTAGATTGTACCTGTATGTTGACTTTCTTATAAGAAATGTAATTTAAAAGAAGTAAGAAAAGATGATTATGTGTATCAAACTGATTGCTAAAGCCTTTAATCATAGACTTTTATGACTACATGCCTGTGCCTGAGTAGCACCAGAAGTGAAATTATTTCCACAATGCAACATTATATGCTGGCACGTGGCTTTTAAAGATGAATCAAAATAAGAATGAAACTAATCTCAAACAAATATCTATATTACAAATGAATTCATTACAAGGTAGTTGCAATTATTATAAACTATGTTTTTCAGAATGTCATTCGTGCGTAAGCTTTGCATAAAACGAGACAGTGCTTTAATTCGAAAACAAATATATAAGCAATTAATTTCTGTGCTTTAGTTCAAAAGCAAATACATATGCAATTCATTTCTTATCTTTACTCCCACTAATACTAGCATGCATACTCAAAACATAGTGGCAACAGAACTAAAGAATAAACAATGAGGCACTGGTTTTCACACACCACAGCATGACTGGCACCTAAGATATCAAACCATGCCACGAATTAGTGCCAACTGGCTCTTCAGCAATAATAGCCACATCATGCACCAGCTTGTGATTGCCCACAAACCTGTTAAAGATAAATAAAAAAATGAAGGACTTAGCACATCAGGATATGGTTTGCACCAGCCAATGCTGAGAATGCCAAAGGGAACAAAATAAATTTTAGTTCAAAATTTCACCAATAGATGTTGCTCGATCATCTTACACTTCAGGTGACATTTAACAAAAGAAAACTCAATCCCATACAACTTTTTCACTGCACGGTATTTTACATCAGTAAGTGTTCATCTCGCACCACACAAAATCACATTCTGAATATGTATTCACCAATGCCTTCAGCTTGTCTGGCTTTATAGAAGTGACTTTGGAACGGATAGCATCTTTTAACAAGCAACGGATGACGCATAACTGCTGCACACCTAGGGCTTCAAATTCATAGGTGTCAAGTCCATAATAAAGGAGACCAAAATGTGTTTATGAGGAACTGCTTTACAGCAGTTGCCGTATGAGGGATACTATACCATCTCGGATTAAATGCAATAACTTCTATGAGATTTCATTCGGAAATATGGTGCCATATTTTGGAGCAACATTTTCAGATAATGCAGTGTTATTACAAAGTATTTTCCAGCCAATGCTGAGAAATGCGATGAAATTGCCCCATATTTCAAGTCATGGATAGTGTAATAGCCTCTTCGCATTTGAAAGGAGGGTGCCTTTTGCCCATATTCAAACAGTTCTGTGGCACAAATAATCATTATGCCGAACCTGTTGTGAAACATCAGAAAAATTTCTAATGGCCCATGCTGTAAATTCCTCTTGCTTATAGATATCACACTAATGTCTGATACAATGATATAATATATCTGATATAATGATTGCAACTTGTATGGATACATTTGCATGATGCAAGATATGACAGCAATAAACTTTGCAGACTTGTGGTTCCTGTAGTCTACTGAGCTCTGCTGATACATCTCTTTGATACACAGGAGTCAGCCAATAACTGTCTGCCACAGCAACTTTCATCAGCCAAACTCCTATTTTTTTCAAAAGCATATGAGAGTTCTTAACATTGCCACAGTCAATGGTCTTCTGCACAGTTTCACCTGTTTCTGCATATGACAGAATTGTAAAGCTGAAATAGTTGATTTCCAGCTTGGGTAGAACAACTTCACTAGCAATGCTTTTGCAATCAAACTCAGACTTGCATTACCTCATCATTAAGTCTCTAAGCATAACAGTTCGAAGAAAAAATTTGCAGATTCACATCTTTTAAATTCATCTTCTTTCTCATCTCATTCACATATTTATACTTTCTACATGCTGTGCCATTAACTGGCAAACTTACAAACATTTTTCTTCTGTTGCAGAAAAAAGATCTGAATTCAATCCATGAATTTACACAGGAACTGTATTGTCATAAAGCAAATTATTATACTTAAAAGAAGAAAAATTCAAGTGACCTTTAACCCACTCAGTTCATTAAACACAATCACAATGATATCAATAGTTGAGAGATGCTTTTGCATTAAAAATATCAAGTGAATTACATTTTTGAATTTGCTGACATTTAAACTGAAAAACATCTTAATTAATGATTTCTAAAATGAAATGTTCTTATTAAAATGATAGTGGCAGTGCTCAGAAAGAATTAATAGATGTTTAAGAAACATGCAAATCTTGATTATGCTGATTTCACCATACATTTTAACGATTCTAAGAGACAACCAGCCAATATAAATAAATTGATTGCTTAAGTTACAGGGTGCAAAATACTGGTACAGAATAAACAGCATTCATTATGATAGCAACGTGAAACTTAAATAATAAAATAAATAAAATTACCTGTAAACCATTAAGATCAGTGTAAAAATCTTGGTTTTCATTTGTAATATTTGTAAGAAATCTCATAATAAGCTCTTTATTAGTTTCAGAAGCAATGTTGACCAAATTATATATATCAAATCCAGCTCCATCCATACCTGATACAATGAAATGCAATTAATACATTATCCTAGAATGAAAATTAATAACTGACTAATGCCACTAATTTTTATTGCATTAAAGTAGAGAAATACCTGGAGAATTTTTTAACACAACATGATGCTCCACCTCTGGTAGTATAACTACTACCTCAGATATCAATGGACCTTCAAGGACTCTAATTTGAGGTTTGTTATAAATAAGTTCCTACAAAAAACACATATTAAGTATAATATTTATTTATAGAGTAATTATAAATGTCTCCTCTTAGAAATATTTAAAAAAATTCAGATTATCATGAATTATTAGAACTTACTCACAAAGACAGCAATGCATACCTTAGCTTCAGCATCAGGCAGAAACAAATAAGCTCCACTTTTATCTTTTCCTTTAGTTTTTGTTCCATATTTTAAAAACTTAATTTGAAGATCAAATTCCAATCTCAAATCAACAGATGTAATTTTCTATTAAAAAGAATAACAGATTTAACAGTAAGTTTAAACAAAAATATCAAGAATTCAACAAATTAAAAATGTGGATGCAGACACTTTTTTCAGATCACACTGCTCACTGCTGACCTGTCAAGTGATTCAAATATTATGCAAAAAGTCTAAAACAATGTGAAAATCCTTCACTGTATGTTTCAAAAATTTCATCATTTTTAACATTATACTTGAAGTATACAAGGTCTCCCTTTAATTATTACTCAATGAACCTAATTATGGAATTATGAAACTCATAGATAATGAGATTTCATATGTAAATTTTATATTACTTTTAGCCTGCTTTAGCATTTACACATAGTGTTAGTTCAGTTAGCAGCTGAAGTAAATGCTCCATAACCTTTAATAAAGCTTACTTTAATGCATGAATAAAATTTTGATGGTCTGACAAATATAAACTTTCTCCATGTTTCCCACAGAAATCTCATAAAATACATACTCCCAGAGTAATACTAAAACACACATTTCACATTCAATTTTCATTACTTAAAAATACTTTCTTCCTTTGTTGAACATATTTAAGTCTAAAAACTTTAAAAAAAGAACAGTTCCTAAACAAAAAAGTAACCTTACAAATTAAATAAAGAACTGTGGAATATTAGGCATTGGTAAATGGATCATGGGGGAAAATATAACAATAATAACAAAAACATTTTTAGGCTTTCAAGAAATAAACAAATGCCCACTGTTTCTTTGGAGTTTCTTTGAAACAAATTTTTAGTGACTACTTATTTTATCATTACCACAAAAAGCGATAATTTTTTTGTTTTTGTTTTTTCAACAAGTGTCTACATATATAAAAATACACCAATACATAAATCAACATTGCAACCTCATACATGAGTACATACATTCCCTCAAATTTGATGGATTACATAATATTATCACAGGTTATTTGAGAAGTCAAACAAGAATAAGCATAACATTTGCTAATTTTGCAGGACTAGTTTTGATGATTTAACTAGAAGAACCATCTTCCTCAGCTGAATAAGTGCAAATGAACAAGATGGCTGATTCTTGTTGTTTGACTACTCCAATAATCATTATTCAGCATGTTACTTTAATCTAAATTATCAGGGATTGTGACATTATTTCAAAAATCCTGAAAACAACCATACAGCAAAAATGCAACATTATTCCAAATAATTCAGAATATCACTGTTAAACACATACATATATGCATACACCCACATATTCAATTTCATACACAAAGCAAAAAATATATTTTTATTTGTTAAAAAGTAATGTCTGTTTCACAGCATCATTTCACACAGACACCTACATTTATTTTTAGGAAAGAGCATGAAAATGTTCAGGTAAGTTCTGGAAACTGCTGCATTCATATTTTTCTTCGCCAACGATTGAAAGTTAAGTACAATCACAAAGGCAGATAGCCCACACATGCTTTGCCATATACAAATAACCTATCTAGCAAAATTAGAAAGATATTTTCTAAGGAAAATAACTTCAGATTAGAACTTGAAGTGTGTATCTTAATAGGTGTTGGAGTTGAGAAACTGCTAGAACAGAATATTTCATAGAAATGTAAAGAATTTTAGTAAGCTATCCAGTTATTCCACAAATTATCCTTTACATCTTTACCAATAGGGTTTTCAGAAGGATTTTATAACTCAGAAGTTACATATGTATTTTTGTTTAAAGAGAATCAATAATATTTCACTGGCTGTGTAGCACCTAGGCTATCAGTATTCAAGAATGTTCAATATTCTTTCATAATATCACCCATATAAGTAAATGAATTTTCTGTAATGGGTCCATAACAGCAAAATAAAACATATTTAATCACCTTTACTAATATTGAATATTTTTGTTTCCCACCTTCACTGAATACATTAGTGAAAACTTTTTTTCAATGTAATACAAAAAACGAAAATATTTTTCCTGCATAACACAAATTTCTAAGCAAACTCACTTATCTCATATAAGTTTCACCATCAGTCTTTTAAATTTATTATTATTATTATTATTATTATTATTATTATTATTCAGTCTTTTAAATTCATAAACAGTATATATTTATTTTCACAATGTTTGAATGATATATTTGGTTTAAAATTAAATTTGAGAAAGATTAAGAGTCTATGTTTCACACATCCAGGAATTCCAGATTTCAGAAAATAAAAAATTCATTCTAAAATGCCATTTTGCTTGATTATCTGTTATTAAAATCATTAATGACTTCCAAAAGTTTGTTTCGTTTCCTCATTTACAGTTCCGCAAACAATATAGTAAGATTTCATAACTGCACTGTACTCATTTAATGGTCATAAGTGCTTGTAAATCAATATGTATTTAGAAAAATTCCTCTCATAAGTGACATTTAGAGCTTAAAGTATTACAATATTTGGAACAGCATTTGGAATACTATATTTTGAAGCATGACAGCCAATAAAATTATAACTCCCATGCAAAATACCACAAAAGGTGGATTGCTCACCAAATTTCCCTCTCGCTATGCTGCTGCTTTCATGCATTTTATGAAACAGAAAAACTTTCAGTAGCTCCTAATTTTAAATAAGGGAAAAGAAAAGTAATGCATGTTCATTAGAAGCTTCCATTTCAGGTTAAAAATTAGATAAAATATTAAACACTAAAAATAACTTCCTAATGCTAAGAACATTGAACAAGTACTAAAGACCAACTTCCTGGTACAAAATTTAAAAAAATCAAAAGAAGTCACTGTGATTGATTTCCTTCACGTGTTTCACTCTTAGAAAATTTATTTAACTCATATACAATTACTGAAACAAGATTTTTCTGCTTTGAAAATGCACATAAACATATAGAAAACAACAACGTGAAATGTAAATTTACACAAAATTTAAACTGATGATTGTTTCACAGAAAAACAGTTTCTTTAAGCACAACTGTTATTTTGATTTTCAAAGAAAAGGAATCATATGCAACACACTGCAAATGTAAGGACTTCTTACATAATGTTAATCTGAGGGTGAATTTTATCTAAATGTAAAAGATACACATGAATGTGAAGTAAGTAGTTGTTTAAACAGTTTTGATGCTAAATGCCTTATTTTCTTTACGAACTAAATGGACAAAGAGACATTGAATGAAGCATCAGAATAACATATACTATAGTAAATGAGCAACTTAATAAATGCCTGAATTAGAGTGAAACTAACTGCCTGAATTTATCAGTATATTATATACATTACCTTAAGTAAGCCATTTGAGCCCGAGAACACAGCAGTCATGTAATCAGATTTAATTGAAAATTCATTTGGTGTAGTTAAACGCATGACAACAAAATCCCTGAAATTAAGAACAAAGAAATGAAAATAAAATTTTAAATTATACAAAAGTGAGAATTAAGCATAACATAGAACCATTTACTATTATTTTTAAGAGAAACACTACAACTGATGAATCTGACATCAAATTTCTGAATCTCAATAAATTTCAATATAGTAACCCACACGTTCATTATGAAGAGTTATTGACAGAAGTGTGGGCATACTGTATGCAGATTACAGCTGGCCAAAATACTCCCACTGTGGACATAAAAAAACTTGACCATTAAAAGTGGATTCATCAGTGAACCACATGTACCATTAATTGAGTCTCCCCATTCTTGCGATTGAACCACTGTGTGGATTCCGTATGTACAGGATGATCTGTTGGTCGCAAATCCTGCACACTGCTGGCCATTAAAATTGCAATAACATGAAGGCATGATGGAACAAATGTGAAATTTGTTGCATGAAAGGTACTATATGCTACCAGCCATGTAGATATTTCGTCTCTTAATTTTTTTTCCCTCTAAAATACTTATTTTTATTATTTATGAAAAGAATGGTAACTGTGAGCCATAAAGATAAACAAATGTGTTTTGCTAATTCGCAAAACTGCCAATGAATCAGTAACTTTCGCAGCTTTAAAGGATGCTTTACATTTTTCTATTAATTTGCATGTTATTAACTTTTTTTTTGTAAATTTCTTTTTTTTCATGTGGTATTATCTTAGCTGATTAGAATGTAATTATCACGCAGAAGAAAATTCAGTGCTCAAGCTCAAATAAAACTGCAACTGAAGGATTCCTCGGATTGTCAGTCAAAAACGTTTTGGTTAACACTAATTTTGAACAAAAAATATATAAAATGAATTTATCATAAATGAATGACTTCTAAACTGAATTCTGCTGTCTACTTCACACTTGGATATGCAAATGATTGACATTCCAGCACATGTGCGCAAAATGGGTATGAATCATGATATCTACATTATGTATAAATGGCAAGACTGCACAGCAGGTTTTTTGCTTGGAAATTAGATGTGAACGTGGGCTCTTCTTGCAAAAGTTGTTATGCCTCGCAAAAGAAGAACTCCTGCCAGTATGTTTCAGAATTCGACCATGGCAAAATCGTGGCTTCTCGGGACTGTGCTTTACCTTTCTGTGCATCACTGGTCATGTTGGTCGGATCCACATGACTGTGAGACAAATATGGGATCAATGGGTGCAGAAGGGCCATACAGGATCTCAGCAGCCCAGGCCACTAACACCTGAGAAGACAGATATCTTGGACAGACATACTGTTCTCTTGGTCTTGCAGGATCAAACCCTGCAACATCATCTTCATGTACCTCGAGTCAGGAACTTGGCTCATGTGCTGGAAGAAAAGTGTCCACACGGACTGCACAACAACATCTGCAGCACCCAACCATCAGCATGGTAACCACTGTTGCAAATCGCTTTGATGCTACAGCAGACAGATGTTCATACTACTGTGCAACGAACGATGATACTGGACACAGGAGTGGCAATACTTTGTCTTTTAAAATGAATCCTGATGGACATGTTCGTGTGGCACTGAGGAGAATGAATGCTGTCATCTTGTATTATCAATGTCATACGGGCGTAATACCTGGTGTGCTAGTATGGGGTGCCTTTGAGTACAGATCCTGATCACCTTTTGTTTGTATAGCCAGCAATGTGAAGAGCTAATTATTGTTCTGACATGTTAAGGCCTGTGGCTGTGTCTTATAATTCAAGCCTCTGGTGACACCATCTACCACCAGGATAATGTACAACTTGCCCATGCTGTCCTGACCTTCCTTAATACAGAAGGTGTTCGACTGAAGCTCTGGCCAGCACATTCTCCAGATATCCCACCCATTTAGAACACCTGGTCATAGGTTGCCGAGAAAAAGGGAGGTTGACATCTGCCAGACACTACGATTGGCGAACTCTACTACAGAGTTCAAACTGACTGGAATGAAGTATCTGTCATCCGAGCTCAGCTCACCTTGATGCACAGCCCGATTACAGCCACTGTTGCTCCTAGAGGTGGCAGCTCTCTATATTGTATTTCCCATGCTGTGTACCCCGAAACCATAAGCAAATTTAATGTCTTTAGATCAGTTTCTATTCAGTACTGTCTATGCACAATAGATAAGATTCTGCTATTTGCTTTCCCTCCTGGTGTAGCAATTTTAATGGATAACAATGTGCATAGTGCACAGCTCTGAATGGTATAGTAATTGGTGATGCTGACTCAAGTTTGAACAATGTACAAGGCATGAATATACTACACACTAGTACGTGTATACCGTCTGAGCAGCATGGGGTTCTCAGAATACTGGTGAGCCAAAAGTCTTTTTGAATGCTTTGGTGGCAGGGGAAGAGGGGTGAGAGATATTTTGATTGCCTTTCGAGATGCTCATCAAAATTGGAGCAGATATGCACAGTAAGCACACTGGAACTATACCTGTATAATGAATGATGAAATTCTGGTGTCCAGCACACTTGTACCTGCATGTAGTACACAGCCACATCAATGAACCCCTTTTCAAATCCAGGAGAAGGCATGGATGTTTTTAAAAAGTACGGTGTCTGTGCAGCATAAAACACTTGAAACACCGTATGCTGAAAGTCCTCTACAGCAGCAGTTCTCAACCTTAGCATCTAAACAGATGCGTACCATCTAAACAAAAACTGAAAAATTTTAGTACCACCACTACATTTTGCCATTTGGAAAATCTATTGGTTATTTGTAATAAATGCACACAGATAAAAATAATCTTAGATTAAAAATGATAACCATTTTAAATATCAAAATTTAAATTATATTTTAATTCTAAAATTTAGTGCAAAATTTTGGCCTGTTTAAGAGAGGCCAATTTCTTTATGTCTTCTTCACCTAGGTTTAACCATAAATCAGGGTCCACTCTTAATTTTGTTCTGTATTTATTTTTCAAATATAACATGGAAGAAAATCCTTGTTCACACAAAATGGCAATAAAAATTTAAAAGCTTTATTTGAAATGCCTTTAAATTTGTTTATTCAGTTTAGCCTAAAGTTAACAAGTGTGTTATTTTTTTAAACCTTCAATTAGCATTTGATACAAGAATTTTTTATGAATTGTTCTTTCTCTTCACGAGATAAAATTTCAGGTACATTTGAACAAAATGGATTTCTAGTCCAATTTACTTTTTCATAATTGTTGGGGGAAAACATGTAAAATCATTTATCAATGAAAAACAAGTCAAATGCTAATTCTTCTTTCCCTTTCAAATTATTTCTGGTTAGAAAAACTTTCTAAAAGTGGTAAAAAGCTTAAAATATTATTATCCGATTCTTTGATTATTACCTTGATTTTTGTTTTATAATTGCATCTATTTTATCTCTAATGGTGAACAAATTAATACTTTGTCCTTGTACTCCTAACTTTAATCCATTTAACTTTCTAAAAATAACAGCTAAATGTTCCAAATGCACCAACCCATAATTCACTGAATAAACATTTTTGCAATTTGAATTTTGAATCACAGAGGAAAATTTGAATTTTTAATAAAACTTCGAAAAGATGATTTAAAACTTTGCCTCTGGATAATCACTTTACTTCAAGAAAGTAACAAAGTGTTTCACTGCTGATCTCTTGGCATAAAATCATAAATATTCTTGAATTTAAAGCTTGGCTATTAATAAAAATTAACAATTTTCACAGCTTGATTCAAAACGATTTTCAGGTTTTTGGATTCTTTTGGCTACTAAAGCTTCACAATATATGGAGCAGTGCGTAAATTTAGTTTAAGGTGCAACTTTCTTTATTTGAGAAATAACACCAGAAAGTTTTCCTGTTAGCTGAAGCTCCTTCAGTGCATATGGCAATACACTTATTCCAAGAAATATCGTTCTCAGAGATAAAATTGTCAATTACTTTGAAAATTTCAGTTGCAGCTGCTGTTGTGAAGATATTCACAAAATAAAAAATAAATAATCTTCAGCAATTCTTTTATCTTCTTCGAAATGCATGTCAAATAATAATTGAACAAAGTCCGTTATACCAGTACTTTGAGCCAACTGCAATGCGAAATAATCACAGTTTTTTCATTTTTTGATTAAGTGTCTCTTTCTATGCAATTTCCCATTTCATGAATTTGTCAACTTATTGTATCATTTGATAACAGAATATTAAGTTTATTAGCTGCTTTTTCATTGAATAATGTGAAAACAATATCTTTAGCTGCTGCTAATGTAAGGTTTTCTTCAATAGTGTAAGCCTGCCTAGTCTAGGTAATTCTTAGGCTTACTATGTAACTAGCTTATTGTATCATTTGATAACAGAATATTAAGTTTATTAGCTGCTTTTTCATTGAATAACTGCATTTTCACTTGAAGTAACAAAACCTTCATTACTTAATTTAGAAGTCAAACAACAAAAATCAGAGTAATATTTTTCAAATTTTTACAGGACTAGTTTCGATGGTTTTACTGAACCATCACCCTCAGCTGCAAAAGTGCAAATGAACGAGATAAGATAAGAAACCCTGGACAGGAGAGAAGCTACTGGTGCAATCTGTTGATGAAACCAGAACTAAAACATAATTTCTTTAAAGGCTGAAGGCAAAGATGGAAAGATCTTTCATTACTTGTTTACTATAGATCTTTCATTACTTGTTTACTATAGATCTTTCATTACTTGTTTACTATAGATCTTTCATTACTTGTTTACTATTTTTTAACTCTGATAATTTCCTCTTAAAATATTCTTCAGATTTATCTTTTAAACTGGCATCCTTAGATTCAAGTTGTCTTTTAATTAATGACTGTTTCATAACTTTGATTAGATAATAGTTCATCACAAATAACACATTGAGGTTGAGGGTCCATTTCATCTTCATTCCAAGTAAACCAAAATGATAAATAACTTTCATTATATTTTCTATAAAGAATTTTTCCTTTTCTTTTCAATATTCTTGGTGCTAGTAGATTGTCTTGGATCCATCAGTTGTGAATGATCACTTTTCCGCTCACTAAGTTCTAGCCATTTTTCCATTTTGAAAAATCTAGATTTGTTTTATTATTTTGTCACAAATATTTAAATGCATGATATATTACAAGTTCTTCAAAAACAAATAAAGATAAACTCAAATAGCATAGAAACGTAAGGAATACAAAGCAATGAGAAGACAAAATACCTGCTATTAGAGACAGCAAATCAACATAAAATTATTCTAACTGAAAATATGAGTCCGAAAATGGTGGGAACATAAAGTGTATACATGCTAATAAAACGATCAAATCAAAAAGAATCAATGGGATACTATTAATTTTTGATTAAGTGATAAATGCACTTTCATGATATGTCTAATTAGAAATATTAAACATTTTAATTAAATTATGTTGGCTGGACACATTAAAATCATTATATATTTTTTCATAACTTTTCTAGATGCCTACCTGGATAAGCAGTAAGAGTTTGAAAAATGTAAGAAATAGGTATAATGAAAAAAATGAATTCAGAACAAAACTGAGTAATTGAGGAGGAAATAAAGACTATGTAAAAATGTATGTTTTCTTTTTACAGAAATAATAATATATTTAACATAAATTTCTCTATAAAATGTCAGCAAAAATTGTTTTTTGCTCATTTTTATTCTAAATTTAACCAATTTTTTTTTTATTAGATATGAGATCTGAAAAACTCTAAAATCTGCAAAACCTCATGTCCCAAGCTGCATCTATTTCTGGTCTCATAATGCATCATGCAGAACTTTTACAGTTTATACCAAATCAACATTAATCAGCAGACAGCACATAGTACTTGGTGCACTTCCAAGTTTAAGTGTGAATTAAATATTGTTCTCTGAAGTAATTCAAAACCCTTTCCTGTTCCCATTCTCACAATATAAAGAACTCCATTTCGTTCCCAAGTCAAGCAAAGATATCATAATAATAAGCAAGCCACTGTATCTGCTGTATTTCTTAACCTTCATGACAATCATTTGTGAATGTAGAGCGATGAGGACAAGCATTAGCATCCACTAGAAGGAAGTTACTATTAATTCAAGCATCGTGAGCTTCATCTGTTATATTTCAGCATTCACAGTTGCAGTTCTATTGAGAAAATAGTGATACTTAAAATCTTTCTGGTTGCCTTCCAACACCCCCCCCCCCAAAAAAAAAGATTTTGCATGTTCTTTTTAATTAATATTATTATTTCAATTCTTTTGAAGTTTCTTTCACACCAGCAGTAGTAAATGGGAAAGCTAAAAATAGTTTGAACACAATTTCCAAGTTCAGATATAACTGAACTAAACTGAGTTCCTGAATAAGCTTTAAAAAAAAAAAAAAAAAAAAAAAAAAAAAACCTCAGTTTGCTAAGTGACCAGAATTATTGAAACAGTGTGGTCTTTAAAACTAAATATTTCTGATATAATATCTGGATGATTTATATTATTTGGATAGTTAATTGCTAGTTTAAAATCTGGTCCTTTTTAAATACCTACACAACCCTCCTTTTAGGCAAACAGCCATCATGTACTTTGCCAGATCCTAACCTTAACTTTTAAAATACCTAAATCCAATGACATTTTTTCACCAGTTAGAAACAGGAAATTGGAAGCTGTCTCATATAATTCTTGATAATTTAATTTGTGCTATGAGAATAAAATATCTATCATTTCTCATATGAAAACCGATTTTTCTCAAATATTACTTTTCCTCAACGGAATTTTGACGGTCTGATTTCTTAACCTCTCTTCCAATTCTACAGATACATTCATCTCATTATGTATATTTAAGATATCTGATTTCACATTTCTCAAGAATACTTTTCTTATTTTTATAAATAAAAATATAATCCTCCTATTATGTTTGTTGACTTCAGTGTGACAAACATGTGACAGCTATTTGTCTAAAGGTGAGGCATGCCCTCGTGGAGGGCTTTCTAAGAGAAATAGGCTCGTATTTAAGTTCCACATAGGGAAAACACCTGTGAAGCCAACTCATTCACTGGCATTTGATACTAGGTTAATCCATCTATTAAGTGTGTAGCTTTATGCATATTTAAAACATTTTATGATTACCTTTCCTTTTTCTTGCAATATTACATTCTGCAAAGACATACATAAAATTTTAAACTGATTTGCTTAAACAGGCTATTATATTGAAACTTTTGTAATGATTTATCATTTGATTCCCGAGTTTGAACTTTGTATAAAGTAATAATTAGTTGAAAATTATATAAAACATGAAAAAATGATTTTTGTCCCCTTCTAAATGTTGAATTGTTATTAACAATTTAATATTTATAATTTTTAATTAAGTATTTGATTTGGATAATTAATTGAAGGAAAGCACAAGAACAGGGAAAGTGCTCAAGAACATAAAGCTTTACTGATTTCAATTTATTTTAAAATATTTTAAAATCATGATTCTTGATTCATTTCAAAATTTAAAGCTAAATATATTTTATTTTTAAAATAAACTTCTAAAATTTTGCAGCCAATTTAGTGCACCTCCTAGCCAATCACTTGAGGAAAGGGCTTTCTTCTTCGGCTCAGCTTATCAGTGAAGAGAATTCAAATTCACTTTGTGGTACTCTAGTCCTGATTTCTGGACCACTGCAACACCATGCACAGCTTGAGTTAGTAGGACACACAGTATGAATTTCCTTACTTACAATTCTTCTTATACAGTCTGTCACTCACTTTATATCTGGATAGTTGAACTCCTGTAACTGTAGAGAATTACCTTGCAATCTGGGCTTACATTCAGTACTGTATATTTCTTTTAGAAACTACTGCCAAATAACAGTCCACACAGTCTGTAATGGCATATTTTTCAACTTTGACTGTCTGCATATAACACTAGTGATTTTAAGCCATTTCCATATCTTAATATGCTACTTTTAGTTTTTTACAGATGTGAGTCAGGGTCTGCCTTGCTTCAATTCTCCCAACACACCATTTCTCACAATCCATCAAATACCTTCTCAATGACATTACCCAACTTTCATTACAAGAAACTTTTATCCAGCTACTCATACAATCCTTGAAGTCAGAATCGTAAGCACATATTTTGCACTCTTTCTACACATGCCAAAAGAACGAGTACAAAAATTTGTATATTTCTGTGCAGCAAGGGTGAATATCAATAACATGCAATGTGATACTAATGTTGAAATTGAGTTCCAACCTCCTTTCATTGGACTTCACTTAATAGAATTAACATTAAGCATCTTTTTATATTAGTTCCTTTAAACTTACCTGACAGTGCATTATTTTTACAAGAAACTATATAAAAAGTAACACTTTTAGAGAATTTAATAACATTAGATTTTTGACATACTGCAGATAAAAATATATGAGCAAGAAAAAAAATTTTTTTTTGCTTGAAACAAAATATTAGTAATAGACTTACATGCTAGAAGGGACTGTTTCAGTATTGAAAAACTTTAATGTAGCTCGATATGAAATGGCAAGATCATTTTCAATTTCATGAATGGAAAATGTGGTCAGACTAAGTGCTGGTAATTCTGCAAAAAACAGAAGCTGCAACAAAAAATAAAAATGTAAAGCTTGATTTGAAATTCAAGATTACAGATGTATGAAAAGAGTGCTATAACCTTATTAGTAAACTTCCAGTTATATTTAAAAGTTCATGAAATGCACATATGCAAACTTTTGCAAGCCTCTATAACATAATAAATGAGAAAGAAAATCTTACAAACTTTCCATTACTACGATATCTAGTAGCAAGCAAACTGAAGGCATTTAGACTACAATAATTTCATGCCCATTTTGTTACTAAACTTCTAAAGAACCATGATATTATTTCAAAACCAGTCACTAGGCTCTATTTTAATGCTCAACATCCTCTCTACCCCCCCTCAAAGTTCATTGCAAGATTTTTTATTCCAAAGAAAAGCTTAAGAAGAGATTTTGTACAAATCTTGCACTGTAAGTTGTCCATCCCAAGTTCACTACATTCTTTCTTTCCACAGGACAGGAAGATTCAATTCTAGAATTTATCTGTTGCATTGATTGCTGAAGGTTGTAGTGTTTGCAATCATTAATTGCTATTTTTTAATTCATGAGAAATATGAAGAGAATGAAAAGAAAATGAGAGTCAAACACCCTACAGACAGAGAAAAATATTAAGATTGTATCAGCAGTATGCAGTAGAGGACTGTCCTTCTGAATGGTGAGGCTCTGGAGGATCTGAAGGGCATTAAAACCTCAGCAATGATGACTACTCAAGAGTATCGGATATGTAAACTAGAGGTGAATGGAATGTGAACCCAAAGACAATTCACACTATCGATACTGGAGCTGGGAGATTATGAACTTCCCCCCCCCCCAAAAAAAAAAGAAAAAAAATTTTAACATTTTTTTTCCTTTTAACTGCCTCTACACAGAGATATGTACTCATGACACTGAAAGCAAATATGAGATTAGACTATAATATGGCATTATGCTGCTAATGTATTCAAATGCATACTCTTACGGAATCAATGAAATAGTTATGCAGGAGTATGTTTTCAGAAAATACCCTGTTATCCATTAAATTTGCATGAAAGAGAACAAGTTGGGATATGTGATAGTTATTTCATAGGATGCTGAACACATTATTGTAGATGCAGATTTCTTTGCTGTTGCATCAGGAAAGCCAATGGTTGCTTTGCTGGTTAACTCATCATATGGCAGACATTATCGCACCACATGCACCAATAGTTGGTGCTATGTGACACACTTAATTTCCTACCCCAGAGTATATGATGCGGCTGTAGGATCCCTCAGAACAATGTGGAGCAGATGCCATTAGTCTTGAGTATGGAAGGTGAATACATTGTGTGGCCCTTCTGAACCCTTCTATTGCAAATTCTCATAACAATTAAAGAATCTTGACCAACATAAGCAGAAATTGCACAGTATGAATATCCAAAGCTCAGGGAGGCTAAGATTCTCCTGCAATCAAATTCTAAGATGCATTAGATGAATTCTTTTTTTTTTTTTTTTTTTTTCCCTTAGATGAAGCATAATATGACCTCCATAAAAGACAATCAGTAAATGCAATTTATTGCATGAAAATGCAGCACTTCAATTTCCCTTTTCAAACTGCTTTAAGTTGTCATTAATCGCGACTATAATGTGCACATCCTATGAAATAACTATTCACATATCCCAACTTGTTCTCCTTCATGCAAATTTAATGGATAACAGAGTATTTTCTGAAAACATACTCCTGCATAACTATTTCATTGATTCCGTAAGAGTAAGCATTTGAATTGATTTCATGCAAAACATTTTTATTCAAATTAAAATGCAACTTTCCGATCTTACTCAAAATGCAGTTTGGCATAGTTCAACCAAAGAGAAGAAAGGTAGTACAAAGTTCCAAATAAAGATATCCAGCATCTAAAATGATCTTATATCTGAACCTCCAGACCAGAAGGGAAAAAAATAAGAATTTTTTCCCTCTCAAAATCTCTAAGAATGGAGAAAATAATACTCAACAAAAAGGAAGTATGCCAGAAACATGATTTTTCTACAAACTAACCGTGATTCCTGCATGTTACTTTCAAACACCTACTCGCAAAGAAATCTCACCATGGTCAATAACAATACACTGATTGGCATTATTTTAAACACCAGCTACAAATGCATTTAGCCTTTGAGTTGTTGTGGGGATCAGAATTCTTCTGACTTAAACTGCAAGTGAAGTCCCAAGACATATTTTTCTTGAATGAGATGTTTCTCATATTGTTTTTCTTTTCTTGACATAGCACTAAAGAAATAAGAAAGATTGTGAGGAATAGTTAACATAGCAAATTCTGCTCTTCCTTGACTTTCTAATTTGAGCCAGCTCATTATTTTTTGCAGAGTATCACTGTTTCAGCTATCTTATAAAATTAAAGTATAAATTTTTGTTTATATCAAAAAGAGTTTAACTCTTGACCTGAAGCAGGATTTTCAAAGTGAAAACATGTTTCGATGCCAGTCAAGCAGAAAAGAAATTTCTGCTAAAAATGCATAAATGCATATCCATCTCAAAACTATGCAGAAGTGTGGCAATGAAGGTCAATAATATACAAAACAAAAATAAAAGCAAAAAAAAAAAAAAAAAAGACATTTTTGAGTTTTCTGTTTATTCTGACACCTCACTTGCAATGAGTAACAGATGAAACAATCATTACAACAAAATTGATGTGCATGACATAGTACAGAGTATGATTCAAAGACAAAATGCTATGTTGCAACAAGAGTGTGCCACTGACCCATCCAATGATAATGGCTCAAGATTTTTCATCAGGAAATGTACTTAAAAATTCTAAGTGTACATATTTGATTGGTTGGTTCACAAAATTAAAAAAAATGCCTTGATATAAGACAGCTAAAGACTACAGCTGATACAGAGGTTTGGAAAAATTCGCAAATGAATTCATAAAGTTCATTAGTAGTAAAAAGTTATCACAAGAAAAAATTTATAATGATGAAACGGATGATTTTTTCTGGCAATATGTTTCCCAAAATACCTTTGTGACATGTGCATAAAAGGCTGGAATTGGATCAAAAATTCCAAAGCATTACTAATGATTTTGGAATGTACAACTGGTGTTCGAATGCAAAAATGCTAACTTTTCATGATTGGAAAAAATGCACAATCTCAGGCATTTAAAGTAAAAAATTTTCTAGTCATCTAGCATGCAAACATAATAGCTTATATAACACACACTAATAAGCGACAGGTCTGTAAATTATTCCATGCTTGAGGCCTGGCTGGTTTATAGGGTGATGCAAAAATTATCCAAATTAGAGAAAACCATTTGCCTTATACTTCACTTAAAGTTTCAATGAAAGATAATATATCTTATTCTTTTCATCAAATTATTCAACCAAAGAATATCAGAGTGCTGCTAATGCTGATACAATCTGGCCTTTTTTAAATGAAAGCTAAATTTTCTGAGGAATGGCAAGTTCATTCCCGAATTTGTGAAATACTTGAACATAAAATCCACTGTGTTGAGCATTATAAAATGATGAAAGGATGTGCCTGCAGATACTTTTAGAAATATTTGACATAATTTATGGCTTAATGACCTTATGGCTACATTTCCTTGTAAACATGATAGCGCTGTAAAATAAAGATTTTTTAATATCACAAACAAAAGGCAAAGTTTTCAAATTAATGGAATTTGCGAGAAAATTTGGAGGAATGATAATAAATGAAGATAATATAACAGAAGTTTTCCATTGCAATTGCAATGCCTCAAACATTAATCAACCATGGTGACATCTGGAGTATGGTTTCAATCCAGAAAATATTGTTACTGATAGTGAAGAAAATAACTAAGAGGTTGCTGAGAATTAAAAAATTTTAAATGCTTCACTGATAGTTGAATGAAAATTCTTGACACTGCAATTACAGAACTTGAACAATAGAAATATGTAGCTAAACAGAAAAACTGTCTCAGAAAAATTATGGAAAAATTAAAGAGAATGTATTAAGACAAAAAGAAAAGAAAAGAAACAGGTTAAGCTACTTACATGGAAATATATGTTTAATAAAATAAGCGAATACTCAGGATTTTTTTTTTTTTTTTTTTTTTTTTTTTTTTTTGTAAATTTTGATTCCCTTAAGGATTATTTCATAAATAACTATTTACTATTTTTTATTTTATAATTTCTGCATGTCATCTTACTAGATTTAACCCGGTGATGTTTTTAGCAATTGTATTTTCCATTGGGAAAGATTTCCAAACTGGTGAATCTTACTTGGCTCATTCTTGATTGAAGATAACTTTTAATCAATTGCAACTTCGAAAAACTTCTCTCGAAAGAAGCAACTGAGATACACAGGGTCAAAAAAGTCTAGTGCAAATATAAGGACTGATTCTTGAAGTTCATTTCCACAATAAACTTTAATATTTTCAATGCGTATCCTTACTAAGTTTTGTCTTTTTGATATTCCTACATATAGGTACATATACTTAAAAACTAAAAGTTCTTCAGAGCTCATAGTATACCAGTGGGTATATCATGATTCTTTGCCTGAAGGGCAGATGAAGACCGTGATTTTTACAATAAAGTACTTAATGTATGTGTCAGGAGATCTGGTGCTGTTGGTATGACTTGCAAACATATAAGCAATAGCCACAAGAGTACAGAAATGCCAAAGACACACTATATCTCTGCCTTACCAACATTCTACACATTTACTCAACCTATCACCATACAATTTCATCTTGTTTCTTCTCTGGAAATGCCCTTAAAAGAAAAGCAATATAAACACATTATACCAATGCAAAAGACTGTGACAAATCTGCTGAGAAGGCTCAGAAGTTGTTTCCAATGCTTGTTTCTGAGACCTCCAGAAACACTGGCATATGCATATAGAAGGTTGGGAGGGTAACTTTGACAAAACTCAAGATCATTAGTTGGTAAGTTCCATACATTATTTCTTATAACATCAATTCTGAAAACTTTTCAAATAATAGTAATACTTTTAAACATGAGAAATTCTGAAGAGAAAACTTTCTCAACTTATAACAAAAGTACGAGAGTAAGTTGAAAAATAAGTTTCCCCTGTCGACTGTGGTCAGAGTTGTGTATGAAAGTCAAAAAATAGAATGAGACATTAAAGATATGACATACCTTTATTTTTCCACATAGGTACCAAGTACATTGAGACATTTTTCATATCGCTTGATAAGCTTCAAAAAGCCCTCCAGGAAAAATCAGGGCTTTGCATATGGAAGAAGCGTTTAATGGCTTGTTTCACTTCAGTATTGCTTCCAAAGCGCTTTCCCCCGAGATTTTTCTTGAAAGCCGGAAACAGATGGAAGTCGCTTGGTGCGAGATCAGGACTGTATGGCGGATGGTGTAGGTGCTCCCAACCAAGAGTTGCAATATGGTTTTGCGTTGCCGTCGCCGAATGTGGTCTGCATTGTCATCCAACAGCAGAACGCCAGATGTGAGAAGGCCAGGCCGCTTTTTCCGAATCGCCTCTTTCAATTTCGACAGGGTGTCACAGTAGCACGTAGCATTGATGGTTCCAACCTCCAAAAAGTCCAGCTACAAAACTCCTTGTGCGTTCCAGAAAACTGTGGGGAGCACTTTATCTGCAGAGGGAGTTGTCTTGAACTTCTTTCGGACAGGTGATGACGGATGTTTCCATATGCAAAGCCCTGATTTTTTCCTGGAGGGCTTTTTGAAGCTTATCAAGTGATATGACAAATGTCTCAATGTACTTGGTACCTATGTGGAAAAATAAAGGTATGTCATATCTTTAATGTCTCATTCTATTTTTTTACTTTCATACACAACTCTGACCACAGTTGACAGGGGAAACTTATTTTTCAACTTACCTACGTAATATTTCCCACTTAATTTTCTTTCTACATACAGTACAAAAGTCCATAATCCAGACTTGTCGGGACTTCGGCGATTCCGCATTACGGGTTTTTCTGGATTATAGGTCATCAATTTAAATCTGGTAAGATGGCATGCAGAAATTATACAATTAAAAATATGAAACTGTAATTTATGAAATAAAGAACAATAATTATCTAAAGGGTAACAAAATTAAAAAAAAAAGGCTTAATATTTATTTGTTTACTTTAAAACATTAACAACAAAAACAAAACATTTCTTTAAATGTAAGTTGTTTAAGTTGCTTCATTTTTTTGGGCTAATACTTTCTCTTTAATTCCATAAACAGACATAATTTCTTGTTCAGTTACAAAGTTCCACTGTTCAAGTCCTGCAATTGCTGTGTCAAGAACACCGACTAACTTGTCAATCAAAATTTTTTCGTTTTCAATAACCTCTCTGTCACTTTCTTCACTATCGGAAGTGCGCACGTGTAAACGCTTTATTGGCTTTACATGCATGTGTAGCAGATGCACGCATCAAAAGCGCATGCGTAAATGCGCACATGTGTAAACGCATTACATGCATGCGTAAGTTTGTGGCTTTGAGGTCCGGATTACGGACTTTATACTGTATAAAGCAAATAATTACCAATTTAAATAGTAATTTCCAATTTAATCAAAACAGCAAATTATTATATTTAATGGTCTAATATCTAAAATTAACTAAAAAGCATCATCTTGCTGTCAAATCTAGTTATTTTGGTTATCTCTCATACTGTTTTATAGAAAGAAATGTTAAAATATGAAATAATAATTTAGGTGAGTTGTGTGAATACTTCCGGAATGGGTACAAATAAATAATTATAGAGTATTAATAACTACAAATGTAATTAACAATACTTTAGCTCAACAAAACAAATTTTCAAGAGTTTCGGAAAACTCGCAACACAGAAATCATGCTTGTTCTTAATTTAATGAATTTAAATTCTGAATTTTTCATTTTTGTAAACTATTAAAACAAATTAAACATTAAAAAATTACACTGATAAATTCTTATGAAGCCTACAATTTAATTATTAAAAAAAGTATATGTATAATTATCTTAATTTGGATAGCCTATATTCACTTGCTAAAAATTCCCAGCAATTTTGAATAATACATTTACAAAGTTATAAAATTTTAAGCAGTTTAAGTATCTATAATAAGTTACATAACTGTTATTTTACAGTCCATATTAAATTTATTTTCAAAGTAAGCAATATCATAAACATATGGAGATGAAATAGAACATGCTGCGAAAGCATATTTTATACCGGTACTACCAGTTTAAATTTATTTTAACATAAAAAAATAAAAGGTAGTATATTTTATAAACACAAACTTTATAAATGTATATGATGTTATATAAACTCACTTCAAATTCAGTTGCAATGAACTTGTTTTTCTTAAAAACAGGATTGACTTGGGAAGGTATTATATTTTCAGAACTGTCCTTTACAATTACTTTAGCAGAAGAAACTATGACTTTAGTCAATTCAGTGCGTGAGTATGCGAGGGAGTTGTACAAAACTATGTACCTGTGGAAGTAGATTCTTATGAAAATTAAATTTGATTTCAGTGAAATCAGAAGTAAACAAATTTACACAAAGAGCAAAAGATTATCAATAATATATCTGAACCTGTCCTTCTTTTTTGGAGTAAATTTAATCGGCATCTTCTGTGGCAATGAACTGAGATGTCTGTATTCATCCTATAACAATGCATGTATATTTTTAGGTTTTGCAACACAACTGAACAAACATGCATGACAGAATCAACTAAAAATACATATATACAAAAATAATACTGATGATATAGGACTATGATAAGAATCTAAACTCCTATTTCTCCCAAACTACTGCATATCTAAAATTATATTTGTTCATCTTCTGTAACTGAATAGATTTGATGATTATAATCTTTAGGAAATAAGTACAGTAATTTTATTATTTGTAATTACAAATTATAAAATTTGTAAACCCTACTTTTCACCAAGTAATTCTGATGAGTTTTTGAAAAAGAACATTTAAATTACTTTAATCTGTACAACTAAGTTGCAATTAAAGCACTTTGCAAGTAGTCAAGAACAATATGAATTAGCTGTAACTTCGCAAACGCTGGCTCCTTTAAATCATAAATCTCATTCCCCCTCCTAAATACAGGAAGCAAAAATTTGGGAACTATAATACAAATAATTACACTCTCTAATAAATTTCTTAAGAAGACTAAATTCTTATCACTGAATTAAGCATTTGAACACAAAGGTATGCAATTCCCTTTTAATGGACATTTAACAAATCTTTGGAACCTTAAAATAAGATTTCAAAATATTCGATCACCTAAAAACAGACACATTTAATAGCAGACAGGTAAAAATGATGACTTATTTTTTATTTCAACAGATTGGCCATATGGACAAAAAATCAAAGAGAAAATATGAGCATAAGTATTTTTTCTCTTTCTGCAATGCATTTGTTGTTGAGAATGGATAGATTAAGAATATACTTTCTCTTTAGAATTTTATTATGTACTTATTCATTTAAAAAAAAATTCTTTTAATCCTAAACATAAACAGTGATGCCAATTGCATAAAAAAAATTATTTTGTTACACTTGTTGCCAGATTTGCTTTGTGGCTATCTAAAGGTAGAGTGATTATGTGACTTGGATTTTATTTTTTAAGAATTTTAATTATTCACCCATACTTTGTAGCATTTATGTTGTTTTCTACAGCTATTACAACCAAACACACGTGTTAAATTTTCACTTCGTTGAGCAGTCACTCCCATTTGATTAATGGCAGATATAAGATTTTTCTCAAATCTACCATGATTTATGTGTCTTCCATTCTATGATCTCTGTGATCCCAAGATAAAAATAAAATAAAATAAAAAATAAAAGCACCTAACAAGTCTTCTCTTCCCATTTACTTTAATGGACACAAGCAGAGTTTGTAAAAGAACTTCTGTCTGCCTTTGGTTTACGACGTTACATTTTCATCAATGCGAGTAAGGCTTTGAATCTTCTTATCAAAATTAAAGAATTCAGGACATACAGTCCAATATTTCTTTTCATAAATTATACATTGAACACTTTTTCAAACAATGTCGATTTTCAGACATGGAAAACAGGCCTTACTTTTCCCTAAAATATTCTTTTTTTCTCCCAAATAACATTTGTTGGCCTTTAAAACAGTCTTAAAAGTACTGTGTTTCCCAACAAAATACATAAGCAGGTTTCATAACTTTCTAGTATCTGAAACTAGATCATTAGCTGTAGGGACAGAAATTTTGTCTTTTATGTACTTTTGATTTTTATTTGAAATTTCATTTGATTTAAAACCAGCTTTGAATAAAGAAATTCGTTCTTCACCCTCAACTTCAGCTCAAAGAAACAACAATAACTGGGATAGTTTATCGCCATAAGAGTAGTTTTCTTCTTTATTGATTACTGGATTACGTAATGAAACCCTTAAGGAATTTTTGGGAATGCACAATACCACCAATGGGAATATGGCAGCATTCTTGTCAGTAGTTACACCAATCGCTCTAAAGACCTCAAATGTGACTCTAATCTATCATACACCTGCACAATATTCATCTTTGTTTCCACATTCATAGAATTTTTTACAACCAATGATAGCAGTTTGCGGACATAATACTCAACAAGTAGCTATTTGTGGCCAAACCTCGTTTTTACGCTATCAATGGCTTTTGACCAGTTAACAGCAATTGGCAGATATCTATCTACAATTTCTCGGTTTTACTGCCAACTGTCATGCATTGGATGAGATACTGAAATTTATCTTTATAACCAAGTGACTCATCATCATGAATTCTACTGAACTGACTCCAAAACCTGAGCCAGTCTTTCACTTCTCCGTTAAATTTAACTAATTGTATTTCAGGCAGCTTTAATTTTGCATTTGTCTCGAATGGTTCACAAAAATTTGAGTTTATCAAGACTTGCTTTAGTACAAATACAAGGTACATCTAATTTTTCTATATTCTTCAATTTTCTCGTATTCAATAATCAAAGTCTTCAGATTTGGTGTCTATTAATACAGTACAAATTTTTTCATTCAATTCAGCCAAATTCGCTCTAAAGAAGAAAATTTAATTTCAATTTTCTTATGTTTTCAACCTGGTTCATTTAAAGATGATATTAACAAATTGCAATGTTATGTGAATGTTGCTCTAACAGATGTTCTTTTAATAATATTTTCCATATTAATAAAATCTTAGATCAATAAAGTCAATACTACCAAATTCACTGATCTTTATCTTTAAACAACACATCTGTAAACCATCACGATGTTGAGAATGAACAGATTTCCTATCTCTTTCTCCTTAGAATTTTATTACACACTTAGTCTTTTAAAACAAAATTCTAAACATAAACAGTGATGCCAATTGCATCAAGACAATTATTTCGTTACACTTGTTGTCAGATTTGCTTTGTGGCTACCTAAATGTGGAGTAATTATGTGACATTCAGTGGAGTAATTATGTGACATTCATTCTAAAGAGAAAAGCACTCAGGGATTCTACAATACGATATGTAACGAAAGGATGAATTCCCCCAAAAATCCTGGATCTTAAAAAGAGATACTAGTCTACTTCAACCTCTAATAACTGATATTCTCGATAGTAAATAGTGGGCTGATTTTGAAACATTCCTTCAGACTGGCTAGTTTTAGACAAAAAAAAAAAAAAAAAGAAAGAAAGAAAATGAAAATGGGAATAAAATATTAACAAAAGAAACATATCCTTTGGCATTCAGAAGTGAATGAGTACACTCTTTCAGATAAAGAGTTCTATGAAATTTGAAACATTAAAACTGCAACATACAAGTGCAGAGGGCATCAATTCTTATGGAGGATTGTCTCATATATGCAATCCCTACAAATATGTCTCACAGACGAATGTTCCATCCATTCAACAATAGAGAATGAGCATAAGGGACAGATGATGCATAGGTGCATTTTAAGCTGAACCATTTTTTAAAAACCATCAGATGGTAATCCTGTGATCTTTACTTTTGAACTGAACATAGTTTAAGAATCTTGACCTTCAATTCAATCACATTCTGCCTGATTTTGGTGTCAGCTGCTCCAGGAGGGGAGCATAATGTGTGAACAGAGCTCGCTCCTTAACTTGCCATGTGCTAAGAGTGATGATTCATTTTCTAAAGAGTTATAAAGTGATATTTCTAGTGATTCTGATATGACATTTTGTCAGTGACTGAGCTCACAGTGCCTGCCTTCCACCTCCCGTGAAAATTTTGTTACTATTTCTTTTAAGTAGTCTTTCTTGTATTTTTTATTAATTTTAAAGTTTAATAATGTATTTTGTCAATTAAACTCCAGAATAATTTGAAACGTGCTTCCAAAAATTATTTTTCAAGGAATTTTTTATGCATTTTCATGCAATGGAAAAAGATTATTAAATACTAATTTTAACATATATGACAGCTTAAGCAATAATCTAAAATGATTCTAATAGTTATTACATAAGGTCTAAAGTTATGCTTCACAATGCAAAATCCCTATCCTGTCGAAGATTCCTTTCAACTACTCTCCATCCTGAGGGAACGTCTTAAACAAAGGCACACCACCTAAAAAGGGGTTAAATGTATTCACAAGGATGAATTACCAAATTTTACTCAATGTTCCACGAAAAGATGCTATGGATGATAACAGTTTTTGTATTATTCTAGTAATTTTAGACTATTCGCATTGAGGTTCCAGGCTGCCCTTAGATATTAAAAATTGAAGTAATTACTGCTGCAGGAGAAAGACTAAAGTCCTTGACAGCTATTGACCAGTGGAATGTGAAGCAATTTTTGGTCGATCCCAGGTGAAAAGAGATGATTTCAACATAAATGGTCATGGCTCATTTTGTTTCATGATTGACAATAACTTTCACGCCAGTTGCGAAGGAGTGTAATAGAGTCTTAAGTCATCTAGGGAGCTTGTAAGTGCAGCCTTTTTAATTCTTCATGTAACAATACATAAATTGATATATCCTTGTTCTTTGTTTAGTACTCATGATAGTAGTAACATTGAACTAGTGTTCTTAAAATTACTGACATGCAAAAATGGAAGCACCTTCTGTCTATGTTTCAACTGAAATTGTTTACTGGTATGCCTCTTTTGCATTTTACTACCCATTAAAACCAAAATATATATATACAATACAAAGTCCGAAATCCAGACGTCCATTATCCGGAACGATCAAGACCTCAAAAATCACCAACGTTTTCTCGTAGGTTTTACGCATGAGCATTTGATCTCCCCCCACACATAATAAAAACCTCTGGAGAGTCCAGGTTCTCAATTTCACTTCAACACTAAATAAAATACCTACTTATTGAAGAAACAATCATTTTAGCATGAATTTGTACGATCAGTAATTTGGCTCCGTTGCTGCGTATCTGCTTGGCATACATCTTAATCCGAAGCATTCCACCTACATGTAGATACATCGTTGATCTGATGCCAACCTGGCAAATCATTACTTACTATACTTTCCTTTCATCACCGCATGTTTATCAAAACATGACAAATTGAGTAATGACTCATGTAGCGATGCCTAAACAATTTTTTTACATTAGTAATTTAATAATAAAGGAGTTAGCTAACCTGTTACGATGACATTACGTTTGGCAATGATTACAGATTTAAGTTAAATGCGCTAAGAAATGTTGACGA